TATAAAGGTATGAAGGAGCTGTGGTGATGCAGTGTCTAAGGCATTTGACCACTAACCAGAAGGTTGGCAGTTCACACTCATCAGCTGCTTTACAGAAGGAAGACGGGCAATCTACTTCCATGATGATTTACCTATCACTTTGGAAACTCAATGGAGGTTGCGATGAGTGAGAACTGACTCCATAGCAGTGGGTTTGGTTTGAATTTTATAAAGTTAGAAGCTCTCTGGTGGCACAGTGGGTAAGGCATTTGGCTGCTAACTCCAAACTCAGTTCAAATCCACCTGCTGCTCTGCATGAGGAAGATGAGGCAATCTACTTCCATAAAGATTTACAGCCTTGGAAACCCAACTGAGTCACTATAAGTCAGAATCGACTTAATGGCAGTGGGTATAAAGATCTGAAGAGGAAAGAAAAGGGACCCCTTGCATTGTAGATCTCTCCCGATTCCTTCAAGATTCATCTGATGGCTTTATGTATTTACTAGTGCCACTGTGCAACAAACCAGAACACAAGAAAACTCGTAAGGCCAGAGTGTAAGGGAGAAGGGTAGGACACACTTCAAAATGTAGTAAGATTAGCTAGAACACCCAATGTGGTGCTAAAAGATTTATATTATTTATTGCAGCTTCCTTATGGAAAGTTTAGATGAAGATGCAACCTTTCCATTCTTTGGAAAAAAATGTTCTTTGGTTTTACTCTGCTGCTGTTTGTATAAACCAAAAAGCCACACTCACTGCCTTCGAGTCGCTTCTGACTCATAGCGACCCCTCCCCCTGGGTTTCCAAGGCAGCATCTCTAAGGAAGTAGATTGCCCTATATTCCTTCTGAGGAGTGGCTGGTGGGTTTGAACCCCGAGTCTTCTGATTAGCAGTCAAGTGCCTTAGGCACTACATCACTAGAGCTCCCAAAATAAAGGTTGCCACTCATCCAGTGGTAGGGTTTTACCTTTTCCAGATATGGCCTCTGAGGTGAACATTCATCATTAAAAACGAGTAAAATGGAACTATTCCAACAGGATTGTAAACTTTTCTGAAAGTTCAGAACATCTACCAATGTAGTTTTGTAAAACAAAGGGGGAAAACAGCAGCTTTTTAGGTTTTTGTGTCAATAAAAAGACTGAAAAGGAATGGCTCAACATTCTTTTCTTCTGACAGAGAAGTATGCTAAAATTTAAAATTTTCAGTTATTGCTCAAAGTTTTATATATTTATATTTAGCCACTCAAAGAGTGTGGAAGCACTTCCCCAGGACTGAAATTTATGGAATTTGTATTTGATGCCCAATGATTCTGCTATCAATCAGAAAACATTAATTCTTGCTTGGTTGTCAGAGCAAATGTCTTTAATTTACCTGTGAATATGTTCTTGTTGTTGTGAACATAGCATCTTTAAAATATTGTAAATATTACTGTACAAACTATTTAGAAAAATGGAGTATCAAATTAGTGCTAAATAATGCCAAAGACTGATTTTTCCACCTCTACAAGGTGAGCATGTGTTAGACAATTCTCTTTTCTCTGATTCTTATGAAATAATCAAAATGCTACCCTTAATACTAAACATTTAAAACCTGTTTTTGGTAACCAAACAAGTTAGTTTAGTAACACCAACAATACACATATATTCTCAAAATTCTTTTTTTTTTTTTTGGTTTATCATCATTAACAGCAGCCTTGGTGGTCCAGTGGTTAAGGTATTTGGCTGCTAACCAAAAGGTCAAAAAGTCAGTGATTCAAACCCACCAGTTGCTCTGTGGGAGAAATATGTGACCATCTGCTTCTGTAAAGATTTATAGCATTGCAAACTCTATGGGGCAGTTTTACTCTGCCAAGTTGGGTCACTATGAGTTGGAACTAAAAAACGGAAAAGAAGTTAAGAAGGACAGACAACAGACAACACTGTCATGTTGAGTGATTATTTCATTTGTCTTGTCACTAGACGTACTAACTTGCTGGCTATTTTCCCCTCATCCTCCCTTTTTCTGAGAGTACCAAAGCGTCCTTGAAGACCTATTGCTATTTTCATGACTAGGGACTTTTACTATGGAAAACCCATCAAATAACAGTCAATTCAAACTAGATGTTACACTTTTTTTTTCTCTCATTTATTCAAATTCACTGCAGGAAGTAAACACTAAAAGATTAAAAAAAAAACAAAAAAATTCACACTGCAGTATGTACAGTTTCATGACATCACATGAAGAAATTAAACTTCTAATAAAAATAACAAATTATATTACGGAGCACATCGCATCAAAATTGGTTGTGTAAACCCCAGAATTCATACCATGAGTGGTAATATTAGTGCCTGTATTCCAGAATTTGCTAATACCCAGAAAACTTCTGGTATAATATTATGTTCCCAATGGGATTAAAAAATCCATGAAAGTAGTTGTGTGATTCTTTATGTCGAAAAGTGGCTGGCTGGTTTTAAAAAATTTTAAGACCCTTGGATTCAAAGTACATTCTTTCACAAAGCTTAAACCACAGAAGTCATGTCCAGAAATGGAATACTGTCATGTTGGGATGAACATCTGATCTGACTTGTTAAGACATTTTGCCAAATGCACAGATGCACAGGGTCCCCCATGCACTTTTCATGCAGCAGGTAATCACAACTTAAATAAAAGGTTTATTCTATACATTTGTCCAGACTTGCAACTGTATACATACATGCACAATTTTTAAACCTGATTATATTTACACTTATACACGGAATATACAGAAACCAAAGAGATTAAAAGGTTTTTTTGTTGCATTAGAACAATACAAAATATGTATTTTTCATTAAGGAAATCACTATTTACATCACCTTTAAAAACCAATTTTAACATCTTCATGTAACAAGTCCATATATATATATACATATTATATATGTATATATATATATAAAATATATACTCTCACCAGTTTACTCCTCTGTAAGATTCAGCAGAGAATAAACAGGTAATGCTACCTTACTGATGTCAATGAGAGTTGTAGTACCCTTTCACAAATGACTTTATTAGGAAGAACTTGTCTACATATCTAAAATAGTCCTTGGAAATGTGTTTATGTGCATCTTTGTATCTATATATGTATAAACAAAGTGAATCCGTGGATGTATGTTCTTGCAGTTGTTCTTTAAAATCACCCTAAACTCAAAGTGGAGACATTCCCTAGTAAATCAGAACGGCATTCTTTGCGGTCATAATTTTTTATGTATTAAACATTCTTGTTCCTTTCATTGTTAACAAAAGTAAGAACAACAAAACCAACCAACCAAACAAAAAATAGCAGTGCTGCTGCCCCCGATATTCTTTTCCCTGATCTAAATTTCACTTCCTTGCAAAACCCCATTTTCCCCAAATCAAGGGAACATACCAACTTTTTTTTTTTTCCCCGCTAATGCTCTACACCTTTCAAATGGGGGGAAGGGGATGACTTCTTTAAAAGCTTATTTATATAGACAAAAAGATTGTTGCAGAGAAAATATGGGATGGAGTACAATATATTCACTGGCCTGTAGAATTTTCATTTCAGAATTAGTACATACCTTTAACTCTCCATGATGTAGCATAATACTCACTCCTGTTATAATATATCCAGTAACTATTTATAAATCATTTTGAGAAAAAAAATAACCATTTAGAATTTGAGATATTAGGAAATAACGCCCATTTTTAATATAAAAATCTTAGAAACTTCAAGTAGAACTTCAAATAGATTTCTTTCTAATTAACATTTGATTATAATTTTTGCTACATGAGTTGCTAGCCTGGTTCACAATTAAAAACAATAACAGTATTTGGTGAATGAAATTGTGGATTGTAAAAACTGAACTTGAACACATGGACTTGTTTCAAGATCTAGACCCCATGTAGCTCAATAATATATTAAGTTCTTATAAGCTATGTCAATGTTCATTTTCAATCAAGATTTAAAAATGATAGATTCAATGGAGTGATTGTGTACCATTCCATAGTGTATATGTACCCTTTGTACTTTTTTTGTTTAGTCACTCTCAATGCAGTGCCTTTCTTGGGTTTAAACTATATGTTTTCATATTTATAAGCACTGATTTTAGGACAATGGTTTTAACAGAAGTTAAGGATGTATTCAGGAGAAGTTTCTAAACCATCCTAGAATCACCTGAGTTTGGTAAGTGGCCCTGTTATTTTATACCTAAGGCTAATTAAGAAGATGTTACTCATTAGAATACATAAATAATCAGAGATTTTCCTGAGATGTTGAACCAGATATGAAAGTTGCCCCATCCACCCATTTTTTTGTCATAAAAAGTATTGTGAACCCGACTTTCAAAGACATTAACAGTAACACATGAACTAGAATATTGCAAATTTTGAACTGATGTGTGACAGTGCTGGGGAAATATAAGCATCAAATTGCATTTTCTTTTTTTTTTTTTTTTTGTGCACTCATATTCTTTGTTCTGAGAAAAGTCATAAGCAATGATTCTCAAACTTCAGATTGTAGAAGAAACAACTAGCATGGTAAGATGAAGATGGAAGATTCCCAGGTCCACTTAGTAGAGATTCTCATTCTGTACATCTGGGATGCTGCCTAGGAATCTACATTTTAAAACAAGCACTCCAGATGCAGGTGATCTGAGTCCAGCTTTAAGAAACCCTGGTCATAAGACTGACAGACAGGTACCACAGGAGGGGTGAAAACTAACTTTTATAAGAAATGGTGAAAACTCTACAGAAAAGCCATTTTGCTTCTGATAAAAACAATTTCTTAAATATTCAACTATTCAAGAAACCACCTGAAGATAAATTTTAACTTTCCTAATTCTGTAAAAGGAGTATTAATTTAGTAAAGTAGCTAAAATACAAAAATGGAAATCTGCCTTTTCTTTAAGAATCTATCATACCTTCCTCAATTGTAATTAATTTTTACTAAGTAGTACAAGATTTAAAGAAATACATCGAAAAGGACTGGATTGGGGTGGAGATATTAGGAACCCCAAAACTCCCTTTGAGAGAGAGAATACTTTTTTTTAGCAAAAGTGAAAAATGTTAAGCATTTTTTCCCCCTAATTTAGTGGTGAATTGGATAATGAAAGTAAATCAGCACTAGGTTTTTTGTTTAACAATTATCACTTACAGAGTATTTGTTGGGACTTTTTTAAAAAACATGTGAACAAACTTCCAAAAAGCAAAATAAAATACCCTAATAATGGCATGAAAGGCAGCAAATACAGTGATCCACTATGGATGGAGATTTAAATTTTAATTTATGCCTATTATTTATGATTATAAAATAATTTCATTCATAGGCTACTCACAGTTGTTGTCTGATGCATACAGAAGTGTTAAACAACCAATTGCTAATTCATTAGTTTCATCATGACATCTAATGTAAAGCAAAATGTAGTATGCCTATTTAAACATCTCCAGTAACCAAGTTTCAAAATAATAATTAAAAAAAAAAAGGTTCAGTATACCATGCTTTTCTCAAATCATGCTCTTATTTATACAGATCTCAAGTTCATACTAATCAGTTTAAAAAGATCCAAAGCTGGATAGCAGGTACATTTTATTCTGATTCTTTTTTTATTGTTAGCACATTTCCCAGAAGTCCATAAACTTCTCCATTTGCACTGTGTGGGCGAGAAGCATTATTTCCCATATGGCTATTGTAAGGACTTCTTAAATTAAAGAAAGAATTTTTAGTATCTGGAGCTGGAAGTAACTCTTCTTTGATTGTAACTTGTGAGACACTTTCCGCACATGAAGGTCCCCTCCAAATGTCCTTGTCCTGTGTTTCTCGACTAGTAACAGAACTACCTCCTTTCTGGAGCATGTAATACAGTATTGGGTTAGTTTTGGTCAGTCTTGGGGAGTCTTTTTCATATTCATTCTTATCCACATCTGTGATAACCCATTTCATGGGTCCTTTGTCACTGGGCAAGGAACAATCATTCAAAAACCCAGATTCTGGTCTTGACCCTGCACAGCCTAAATGCTCAGGAAAAGGAGGACTCATGGGAGTTTTAACAATTCCTGGATAGGAAAATGTCCTGTTATCTATGCAGCTGTTGGGTTGAGTGGAACTATACATCAGTCCATTTAAAGGAAAAATGTTGAATTCAGGATTGCTACTTGTCACATTGCTTTTGTGTCCTTTCTTTTTATTGTCAACGACAGAGTTACTCCTGTGCTGAGACAAATCTCTGACACAGTTTTCTGACAGAAGCAGTTGCTTCAGCACATTGAAACTTTTGCTCTCTCTAGCCCAACTCCTATGTTCACTTTCACTGGCTGAGCCATGACCTGCAGGGTATTTAAATTCAAGGTCATTTCTGCTAAATTTCAGCTCTTGCTGGTTAAGCAAGGACCCATACAATACCTCAGGAGTACTGTGATTGTTTGCAGCATCAACAATATTAGTTTTCATCTTCTTAAATGGATTTTCTAAAGGCTCAGTATAAACCTTCCTTTTCTTAGGGACCATGCAAAGATTCTTTGATTCTACAAGTGTCAGTTCACTGTTTCTGTGACTGTTGTCCAGATCATCTGCCAGGTAACTTTCCTGATTTTGTCTCAGCAATCGACTTAACAGACCATTCTTTGAGAAAGAAAAATCCTGAGGTGAAACGGATTCCGATTTAAAATCCTCAGAGGCTGGTAAGGCAGCTGTGCTCCTCTGCATAGTAGGAGCCGTGCCTAAGAGTGGGCCACCCTTCACATCGTGGCTCAGGTGCACATCTGTATCATGACCATGTAAGTCATCACAAGGCTCAGATTTTATTTTCACCATCAATATTTGTTCACTTAAAGCTCTATCTGTATGTTCCTGAGTACTTTCATCTCTCAAAGGAATTTTCTCTTTCTTTTCACTCTTACCTTTGTTGGGGTTCCCCAGGAGCAGCTGGAGGACAGTACGTCTTTCAAGCAGATTTTCTATTTCAGAACCACAGAGTCCTGATTCAGGAGCTGCTGGCTGACTACTGAATGCTTTATTTTCTTCTGCTGAATTTGTTTTATTAGAGAGCAGAGGACTATTTAATCTGTCAATCATACCTACTGGTTTATCTGTTTTTATAGTTAATAGCTGTTTACTGGGTCTCTGCTCTTCTACCAACATAGAAGACTGTATCCCACACTGAGCTAAATTTTGTAACAGCTTACTGGCACTAAAAGTTGCAGAGTTTTGTGCACCTTCATTTTGGACTCGTTTCTCTGCTTGTGATTCTTTGTTTTTTGTAAGGTCTAACAAGTGGTTAGAGGCAGTATTCATTAGCTTTTCTGATTGAGTATTGCAGGCATAGGATGGAGAATTCCATTTGATGACTAGAGATTGCTGAGAAAGATTGATGGGGGACTCTGCTTTGGTTGACGTAAGTAATGGTGGAGTGCTCACTGGAGTAGTAGTCCTATTTGTACTGGGACTTTCTATTACAGAAGTCCTGGTATAACTTTGTGAATTGAACTTTGTCACATCACTGTGTACTCCCTGAGAGCTGGCATTTTTTTCCACATTTTCTTCATTCTTATGGCCAAGCAGTAATTGAAGAAGTGTTACTTTCTGGTGCGAATTAAGCTTAGAATTTTTTGAGGTATCTTGATCTTCTTTGATATCTACATCTGGAACTTTTGGATCCCAAGTGTTTAGTAAAGATTCAGTTAAGTTATCCAGAGAAACAGGTTGGTCAGATTCCGGCTTTTCAATTCGATGTTTGCAAGACAAGTCTATGGGAACACAGTTAGAATAAGAACTTTCATCACCACTACTGTCATCTGTAAAACTAGGATTGTTGTCGGAATATTCATCAATAGTGGTGGGTGTACTACCGTCCTCAAAAATGCTTCCTCTCTCACAGTGATCATGTCCATTCATTGGCTTAGGTATGGTCTGGCTCTTAAGAAGATGTAAAAGCAAACTATTACTAGCAGTTTGTTTTACAGTGTTTCTCTCCAGTGAGTTCTTATAGCCTGAATTTTTTGGGGAAGAAGGAACAATACCCGTTGGACTTTGAAATGTTGAATTACTTTTGCTAGTAATTGGTTTGCTTGAGGATGTTCTTGCCTGACCATTAAGATGGCCTGACATTCCTTTTGAAAGCTGGAAACTGCCAACCTCTTTCTGGCCATTTTCCTGTAATCTGGCCATAGCTGCAAGTCTTTCACTTGCCACTTGATTGGCATTTTGTGTTTTTAGAGCATGCTCCCGAGAATACTGCTGCAAATGGGCTTCACTTGATAGGAGTAATGCTAATTGGCTACAAGCAACACTAGGTTTAGGTGAGGTGGCAGGACTAGCCCTCTTTTCCACCATGCTTGCAACAGCCTGCAATCTTGCAGCACATGACAAGGGTTCACTCATGACCTTTGTTCCACTCTGTCCAACATGATGAGGTGACTCTACAAACCTATCTCTGATGAGGTTTTTAGTGACATCAGGAAGACTGGTATCAGGCTTTTGTTCTTTAGCTTTACTTTTCTTCAACAAAGTTTTCAAGTGACTTGATGCAACACCGAAGCACCTTAAATCTTTCTCCACTTTTAAAGAATCATGATTGAGGGCATACCCTTGCTCCTTAAGGCTCTGCCTAATTTGTTGAGACAGAGCGACAGTCTGTAGCCTAGAGCTGAATGACTGAAGTAAAGAGGCCAGTAATGTGCTATCCTGTTTGCCTTTAGGTACACTGTCAACCATGCCAGCAAGCAAAGCTTCCTTCTTTACGTTTAAATTTACGATGGAATCAGACAACCTCTTCCGCTTTGCTGCATTCCAGTCCTCAGAAGACTGCAACAGTCTGGCCTTTTTGAGATGCAGCATGCCAGATCCCTGGTATGTATGTGTATTGAGAACTGGACCATTACTTTGACAGGTAGGAAGTATGTTGCCAGAAATGTTAAAGTTCTGATCTTCTTCATCATGCCCCGCAGACTTCTTTTCGACTGCAGTACTTGAACCCCCGGCTGCCTGATGCATTAGTAATCCTTCTAGGTAAGTTAAAACAATAGAATCCTGGTGCACATCAGAGCCAAGCTCTTCTCCATGAGTCATGTTCAATAGAAGGGTATTCACAAGAGCTTGTTTCTATTCACTTTTAAGAATGGTTTTCTGTGGGTGAATGAGATGTAACTCTAATAAGCAAGTGTCAGTTTATCACCCTCCATAGCAATTAGCCAGGATTTCTTTTGGCAATGACAAGATAAAGGGCAGGTAATGCCAATGTAGACTGACCAAAGAGCTGATCAGATCCTACGCAAGAAGAAGCAGAATTCCTTAACACAACGGTCCGTAGCAGCAAGAAGATGCAATCCTTAGTGAATATACTGCTTTACCTTCTTCATCTTTTGCTCTCCATTAAATGGAAATATCAGTGTTCTAAAAATAGAATAAAATAAAATAGTTAAAGAGATGCCACAATAGGATCATACCATGATACATATAAGCAAAAGTATTTCCAAGTTTCATTGATATATATATATATATGTACACATACACATATACATATATGTATACACACACACACTACAGGCACTTCTTCAGTAATTAATTAAATTAGAAATCACTACCAGAAATCCTACCGGTTAATCTGTATTCTTAAAATAATCAAATCAATTACAGAAGAGAAAATAATTTAATGTTCTATATAACACTGTCTTCTAAACCAAAACCAAACCCACTGCCATCAAATCAATTCCAACTCATAGCAATCATATAAGGTAGAGTAGAAGAGCCCTGTAGCATTTCCAAGGCTGTAAATCTTTATAGAAGCAGACTGCCTCATCTTTCTCCCATGAGACAGCTGGTGGGTACAAAACGCAGACCTACTGGTTAGCCACTGAATGCTTTAGCCACTGTGCCATCAGCGCTCATCTGTCTTTCAAATTCCTCTAATTTATTTATTTACTTTAGTTTCAATAAGCATCTTTCTACAAAGTTATGTGAATGCTAAGTCTCCTTTATAGCTCTACATGGATGTTAGAATTAGCCCCCTTATTTACTTATATTACTGGACAATTAAGAAGAAATAAAAGTAGATGTGAGAAAAAAAGAAAGGAGATGCACATGATATGTTCTTGTCTAATACATCTGATGACAGGGTTGAATACTACAGAACTTTTGACTTTCCCCATACATCAGACATGGCAGTATTAAAACTAAGCAATTTTTAGAATTTCTGTTTTAATACAAACAGAAAAGCACAAGTTTAAGTCTGTTGTCTGGGCTCTGCAAAATGTAATATTAAGGTCTTAATCACATTCATAAGCAGTAAATTAATTTTATTCACCCATTGAATTTGCAATGCTCTATTAAAGACAGCAAAGGGTGGTTCTTTATATGCCCATTAGGGAGGTAGAGCAAGATGGCAAAGTGAGTGAAGGCTTCCATTTACTCCCCCAGCAATTACCCCACTGAACAATGAATAAAAACAAGCACAGACTCAGATCTCAGAACTCTGGACAGGACAGTAGATGTGGTGCTGGAGAGCAGGGGTGAGTCCTAAAAGGGAAAAAGGAAGAGTGGCGATGGCACAGAAGTAGGGAGAACCTACCCACTAACATTGGGAGTGCTCGCTCATTATACACATTTTGGGACACAGCTGGGTGACATCTTAAATAAGAAATGAGGGATATCATTCCTGATGTCTGATGGATCTTGGATAAAAACAAAGAATACCAGAAAGATGTTTTCCTATGTTTTATTGACAATGCAAAAGCATGTGATTGTGTGGATCATAATAAATAATGGTTAACATTATTTAGAATGATATTCCAGAATACTTAATTGTACTCATGAGGAAACCATACATAGACCAAGAGGCTGTCATTCTAACAGATCAAGGAAGGGGATAGTGCATAGTTTAAAATCAGGAAGGGAGTGTGGCAGGGTTGTATCCTTTCACCATACTCATTCAATCTGTATGCTGAGCAAATAATATGAGAAGCTGGACTATATGAAGTAGAAATAGGCATCAGAATTGGAGGCAGAATCATTAACAACTTATGTTATGGAGATGACACAACCTTGCTTGCTGAAAGTGAAGATGATGTGAAGCACTTACTAATGAAGATCAAAGACTACAGTCTGCAGTATGGATTACACCTCAACATAAAGAAAACAAAAATCCTCACAACTGGACTGATAAGCAACATCATGATAAATGGAGAAAATATCGAAGTTGTCAAAGATTGAATTTTAGTTGGATCCACAATCATCACTCATGGAAGCAGCAGTCCAGAAATCAGGCATCATGTTACAATCGGCAAATCTGCTATAAGGGACCTCTTTAAAGTGTTAAGGAGCAAAGATGTCACTTTGAAAACTAAGGTGCACTTAACCCAAGCCATGGTATTTTCAATTTTCTCACATGCATGTGAAAGGTGGACAATGGATAAGGAAGACCAAAGAAGAGTTGATGCTTTTGAATTATGGTGTTGGTGAAGAATATGGAAAATACCATGGACTGCGAGAAGAAAGAGTAAAGTGCAGCTAGAATGCTCCTTGGAAGTGAGCATGGCCAGACTTCATCTCACCTACTTTGGTCATGTTGTCAGGGGAAAATTCCCTGGAGAAGGATAATAACATGCTTCATAGAGAGTCAGCAAAAAAGTTTAAGACCCTTAACAAGATGGATTGACACAGTGGGAGTAACAATGGGTTCAAGCATAGCAAGGATTGTGAGGATGGTACAAAGACAAGGCAGCATTTTGTTCTGTTGTACACAGGGTCACAATGACTTGTTAACAACATGACAGCACATAAGAACTATAAGAGCAGCAAGGTACCAAAATACATGAAACAAATTCTGAATAGCATGAAAAGAGAAACAGGCCACAATAAAAGTAAAGATTTCAACACACTGCTCACAATTACAGATAGAATATCTAAAAAGATGATTAGTAAAAACATTGAAAACTTAAATGAAATCATAAACTAATTGAACCTAATGGACATACAGAGAACACTCTACTCAACATCAGAACAATACACATTCTTCTACAGGGCACATGGATCATTTTCCAGAATAGGTCATACGCTAGGACACAAAACAAGTCTCAACAAATTAAAAACATAAATAAAAAAATAATCAACCTCACTACCGTCTAGTCGGATCCAACTCACAGTGACCCCTCCTTGGGTTTCCGAGGCGGTATCACTACGGGAGTAGAATGCCCAACCTTCCTTCCGAGTGGCTGGTGGGTTTGAACCGCCAGCCTTCTGGTTAGCAGTCAATTGCCTTAGGCACAACTGAAATCATACAACCCTAAAGGTATAAAAGCTAGAAATCAACAAGAAGAAAAAGAACAGGAAAAAAAAATATATAAATTGAAACTAAATAATACCCTACTAAAAAGCTACTAAGGAGCTCTAGTGTCATAGTGGATAAGGCATCTGGCAGCAATGCAGGTCAGTGGTTCAAACCTACCAGCTGCTTCATGGAAGGAAGATGGGGCAATCTACTTCTGTAAAGATTTACAGCCTCAGAAACCCAATGGGGGTCGTTATGAATCAGATTTGACTTGATGGCAGTGAGTTTAGCTTTTTGTTTTAAAAAGTTATTGGGTCACAGAAGAAATCAAAAGTGAAATTAAAAAATTCCTAGAATCAAGTGAAAATATACATTTAAAAAGCTTTAGGACACAGCAAAAGCAGCTGTGGGAAATTTTCAGAGGGAAATTCAAAGTGATAAATGCCTATATTAAAAAATATGATCTAAACACATTAACTTAAACTGACAACATGAATAAACAGAAAAGGAAGAAAGAGTAAAAGAAACCAATAACTACCAGAAAAAAAAGAAATAATAAAGATCAGGGCAGAAATAAATCAGAAAATAGAAAAACAATAAAATCAATCAACAAAACCAGAAGTTGACTGCGAAAGAGAGAAAGAAAAAAAAAGAAGAGGAGGCAAATAACCCAATTAAGAAATGAAAAACACAGAAGAGGAAGGAACACTACTGAACTCTTTTTATGAATAACTTTGATACCTAAACCAGGCAAGACATCCCCCAAAAAGAAAATTTCAGACCAATACCCTTATGAATACAGAAGCAAAATTTTCTATAAAATTCTAGCCAACACACTTCAGCAACATATCAAAAAAATCATATACCACGATCAAGTGGGTTTCGTACAGGATTACAAGGGTGGTTCAAAATTAGAAAATCAATGAATGTAATCCACCACATAAATAAATCTACGGAAAAGAGCCATATGATCACATCAATTGATTTAAAATTTTCTAAAATTTAATACCCTTTCTTGATGAAAACTCTTATTAGCAAAAGGGATAGAGGGGAAATTTCTCAACACAATTAAGGGCATATATGTAAAACCAGCAGCCAGTATTTATAATCAATGGAGAAAGGGTGAGAGCCTTCCCTTGAGAATGGGAATGAGATAAGGATGCCCACTATCACAACTCTTTAACATCGTACTAGAAATCCTCACTGGAGCAATAAAATGAGAAAGAGCAATAAAAGGTATCCAAATTGAAAAGAAGTAAAACTACCTCTATTTTCAGATGACACAATTCTATACACCGAAGATTCTGAAGATTCCACAAGACAACTTCTGTAAGTAATAGAAGAATGGGCATATTTTGTCTTCTTCTATGTTTATTATCCTGTACTTACAAATGATTATGCCCCACAATTTTCTTCCTATGTTGTCTTCCAGGAATGTTATGGCTAGGTTTAACATTTAGGTCTTTGATCCATTTTGAGTTAGCTTTTGTTTATGGTGTGAGGTATGAGTTCTGTTTCATTTTCCTGCAGGTAGGCATCCAGTTTTAACAGTACCATTTATTAAAGAGGTTGTTTCTGTTCCACTGAACGGACTATATAAGGGTATATAAGGATATAAGACCAACACACAAAAAACAGTTAGTTGGGTTTCTCTACTCTAACAATGACAATTCCAGAAAAGAAATCAAGAAAACAACAGTTTATAATAAATAAATAGATAAATTACCTATAAACTAATGAAACCAGGGACATACGACATATAATGAAAATTGTAAGACACAATTCCAAGAGACTAAACGAGACCTACAAAAATGGAAAGTATTCCATGCTCATGGATTAGAAGGCTTAATAAGTGAAATGTAAATTCTACCTAAAGTGATCTACAGACAAAATTCAATCTTGATACAAATCACAACATTCTTTACTGAAATCAAAAAAGTAATGACCAACTTCATACAGAAAGGAAAGAAACTCGGAATAGCCAAAATAATATTGAAGAAAAATAACAAAGTAGGAGGTCTCATATTCTATAAAGTATACTATACAGCCACTGTGGGAGCTCTGGTAACACAGTACCTAAGGCATTTGACTGCTAACCAGAAGGCTGGACATTCAAACCCACCAGCCA